TCCTGCCTCAGTTTCCCTTTAGGAAGGAATGCATTCCGTCAGCTTGGCCTGACAAGAGGAGCAGAGGCTCACAGCCGTTGCTTTATTCACACTGGCAATTGCTCCTGTTTCTATAGCAGGCCTCTTTGCCAACTACCCTTAAACTGCCAAAACAAAAGTGATTCCTCAGAGTTCAATGGTTCCTTAGAGTTCAGGGCTCCGTGCTCCATCTGTTAAGACACTAATAATAATTTAAAGAGCAAATCCAATTGGTTATCTTGGGAAGGGAGGGAAATGTCCTTTTAAGATCAAAGGTGGCCCTCTTATGCTAAGCCAAGCAATGCCCGATACATTTTATATTCTGAAAATGCACAAAGATGGAAAGGGAAAGACTTCATATCAACGTTTGGAGATATAAACTGCTGAGATATTTATTTGCTAATGTTAAAAGAAGTAGAAGTAAATCATTTGTGGGATACAAGGTGGAAGAAATAAAACCCAACATTATAGAGAAAGCGAAAAAAACGGAAGCAGGAAATCTACGTTTAAAATCAATTTATGTATATATGTTTGTAGTTTAGACTCATAATTAGAGTGTAGATCAGGCATGGGCAAACTTGGGCCCTCCAAGTGTTTTGGACTTCAACTCCCACCATTCGTAACAGCCTCAGGCCCTTTCCTTTTCCTCCTCAGCCACTTAAGCTTCTGTTCAACCATTTCAAAGCTCCCTGCCTTGGTGGTGATGGCACGATTGTCAGCATAGATGAAACTCTCTATGCTGAGGAGGAAAAGGAAGGGGCCTGAGGATGTTACGAATGGTGGGAGTTGAAGTCCAAAACACCTGGAGGGCCCAAGTTTGCCCGTGCCTAGTATAGATATATGTTGTGCAGTTTGAGATGTGATTGTTGTGGGGTATGACCGTATTGATGTATGTCAAAAGAAAGTGCTATTTAACATTTATATGAAACCGCTGGGAGAGATCATCCAGAGTTTTGGAGTTCGGTGTCAAATCTATGCAGATGACACCGAACTCTTTTACTCCTTTCTACACAATGTTGAGGATGCCATCCTGCACCTGAACTACTGCTTGTCATCAGTGATGGACTAGATGAGGGCTAACAAGTTGAAACAAATCCAGACAGGACAGATTCACTCCTGGTCAGTCGAATAGCAGATCAAGGTGTGGGATTACAAGCCTGTGTTGGATGGAGTCACACTCCCCCGAAGACACAGGTCTGCAATCTGGGGATGATCCTGGACTCATAGTTGACCCTGGAACACCAGGTGTCAGAGGTGGCCAGGAGCACCTTCGCACAATTAAATCTTTTGCGCCATTCCTGCTTTGACTACTGCAAATCTCTCTACGTGGGGCTGCCTTTGAAGATAGTTCTGAAGCTTCAATTGGTTCAGAGATCGGCAATTGAGCCCTGTACAGAGAGAGATCCACTCCCATGTTACAACAGCTCCACTGCAGAATTTGCTGACCGGAAGGTCGGCGGTTTGAATCCATGGGATGGGGTGAGTTCCTGTTGTTAGCTCCAGCTTCTGTCAACCTAGCAGTTCAAAAACATGCAAATGTAAGTAGATAAATAAGTACTGCTTTGGCAGAAAGGTAACAGCACTCCATGAAGTCATGCCGGCCACATGACCTTGGAGGCATCTACGGACAATGCCGGCTCATCGGCTTAGAAATGGAGGTGAGCACCACCCCACAGTCAGAACTCACTAGACTTAATGTCGAGAGGAAACCTTTATCTTTACTTTAAGGCCAAGCCCAGCGACAGGATGAGCCCAAGGTCCTGCCTACCTTCAACACAAAGTCATACATACCAATACACATGGTGTACTTGGACTTTAAAAAGTTTTGTTTGGTAAATATCAGTCAAATGAGCATGCAAACTCAGACTGTGCTCTATTTAGGGCACTGGAACATTTTCCAATCTTCCCACTGCCCAAAAGGGCTGTCCTCCTAAACATGGAGGTTCAGAGTACAGTTTAAATGGATGCAAAGAAAAGGTGTATTCCCCTTTCTGGTAACCGAGTCCATTTCCCAAATAACAGGTTGCAGCCATTTCAATTAAAGCGCCAGGTTATGCAACAACTGCATTGACCAAAGCTGACCCCAAGAAACAGGGCCTGGGTCTTCGCTGCAGTGGGTCGGTCTGTGAAAATATACGGCCGCAAACTCACAAGTCCTATGCAGGACTTCCTTCCTTCTTTCTCTCTGCGATGGGGAAATTGGGTGGGTGGGAAAGGGGAGCCCCCTCCTTCCAAGGGTCTGCTCTGGGTCCTTTGGGTACTGATCCCTCCTAGGAAGACCCTTCTTAGGAAGGTCAACGTTGCAAGCTGCACAAGGTGCCTTGAAACAGAATGTGCAAAACAGTTCCCTTGCAAAAAGAAAATAAAAAGTCCCTTAATGCATTTGGAGGCAGACCCTGCATTGATGGGAAGGGGGCTGCCAACTTTCCCAGTTTGTATGTTGCTTCTTTTGCCACAACTGTCTCTAAAACATGAAGCATCCTAAGGAAATCCAACATGGCTTCTCCTCCGTGGCACAGCAGCCAGGGGGACGCCTCCTCCTCCTCCTTCTGCTGCTCTGGAGTCAAATGGATCCCCCCCACCAAAAAATAGGCAAAAGGCAGGAGCCCCCTCCCTTTCCTCCTCCTCTTTGGTCAAGCGCTCTCTCCCTGAGGCCCCCCTCCTCAAATTCCTGCAGATCTTTCAAAGGCAAGAGCAGGGAGAGGCAGGCAGGCGAGCAAACAGCCAAAGTCACCCGTCACGTGACACAAATTATTTATTTTTAATTGGAAATTTGAGATCTGCGTCCATGGCGTGTCCCCCCCTCAGCCATCCCATGCCATCGTCAAAACCTGTTGCTGGAAACCAGCCACCCGAAACCAGTTCGGTCCAGTCTGGTGGACCCAGTCCTAATTGCAAATTTTTCCCCCTCCCCTTTTGAAATATTTCTCAAAGTGTGGCCCTTTTTTATTTTTCTGACAAAAAAAATAAAATATTCCCAGGATGGATTTTTTTCCCTTAGAGTTGGAAAAATCCAAAGCCACTGGGTCTGTTTGTAAAAATTGTTTTTTTGTTTTACTGTTTGTTCCAGAAGCTTCCATGATGCCCAGCAGCCCCCCCTCCTGAAAAAGGGGAGGGGGAGGAAGGAAGGGGGGGACCGGATTGGTTGGGGATGAAATCTGCAATTGCAGCCCCCCCCCCCAAAAAAAGAAAAAAAAGAACACGGAATTTGCCACTGAAATCCAATTAAATGTGAGCAATTAAAACAAAATGAGCCAAAGCACCAACTTTTTTCTCAGGATTTCCCTCCAAATTCTGAATTTTTTGTTTAATTTTTTTCCAGAACTCAGAAATGAAAATTTTTCTCAATTTCCTAAGACATTTGCCTGAATTGAGCTCTCTAGGTTTGAAAAAAAAGGACTGAAGCTGCAGAAAAATGTGTCTTGTTTCCTTACAGAAAATGCCCTTTTCAAATTCCCTGCTGCTGCAGCTGTTTTGAGTCGGCCATCTTGATATTTTGTTCCCATTTTAAAAAGGGGAGGCTCTGCAAGATTTGCTCTTTTTCCTCTTTCAAATTCGAACCCTTTCCCTCCCCCCTTAAATTTTTTTTGGGTTTTCTGCCCCAGGCGCAGAAGTCTCTCCTTTGAGAGAGAAATGGTTTGACTTTTAAATAAACCTTTCACAGTAATGTCTCTCTATTTGAAAATGCAAAACAGAAAAGAAAAAAAAAGAAGAAAAAAACACAAGAAGAGCAAGGAGCAAAATGATTTTGCAAATTTCACAACACCAACATAAGATACTCAAACAGGAGACAAATTCTGAAATGCAAATCCAGTAAAAGGCTTACTTAAAGAGAGAAGAAGAAAAATCAGTATTTAATCAAGAATGGGGGGGGGGAATTTCAATGATTTAATTTTAATTTATTTTAATTTTTTTTGCAAAAAATAAAAAAATTGCAACTTCATCCCTGTTGCAGTTTTGGATATATTTTGCACGAAAAGGAAATTTTTATTTGATTTTGCATATTTTGCATTAAAGGAAATGAAGGAAATTCGGGTTTTTTCTTGTTGCATAGAACTGTTTCAAAAGGGAGAATTTTTTGCACAATCTGGGGCTCTTTTTCAGGGGGGAGGAAGAGGGAGGGGCCTAAATAATGGCAAGGGAAGGAAGCCATATATGCATACACACATACATACATATATTTCTATATAAACCCAAATTTCCTAGTTTGCAACAGACCTCACAACCTCTGAGGATGCCTGCCATAGATGCAGGCGAAACGTCAGAAGAGAATGCTTCTGGAAAACGGCCAGACAGCCCAGAAAAGTTACAACAACCTAGTGATTCCGGCCATGAAAGCCTTCCACAATGTATATTTCTATATATTGATTCCCCCCCCCCCATCTCTCTCTCAGAGAACAAAAGGCCAAGAGGATGGAGAAGGGGGGGGTCTCTCTCTAAAGGCGACCCCCCTCCAAAAGGGGCGTGTCCTGCTTTGCTTTCGAGACTTTATTAAAAAAATTAAAATTAATTTTTAAAAAATACAACATTGGCAAAAAGCATTTTCCATTCGTCTCTCAAAACAATAACACTTAATAATAATACTTGTATGTAAAGTACTGGTTCTGACCCGGAAACTGACTCCCCCCCCCACACACACACACCAATAGTCTAAAGCGGATTTGAATTCGGCTTTAGAGACACAAAAAAGGACTGAGAAAGAAGCCCCCCTTTAGGATCAGGGAGGGAACAGTTCCAAAGGGAGGGGGGAACCAGGAGGGGGCGTCAAAGGCCGGAAAAGCCTCCCCCAATGCCTCGCTTGTTTGTTTCCCTGCAATTTGCATATCTCTCCTTTCGAATGAGGCCGACAGGGGGCGCTGCACGCAGCGGAGGAATGAGGCGAGTAGTCCTGAGGGGGAAAAGAGCCCCTGAGGGGAGAGAAGGGAGGGAGGGAAAGGGGCAGGAAGGCCGCCCAAGCCAGGCCCAGGCCCTCCCCGGCTCACCTGCGGCACAGCGGGGGCCGCCTCCGGGGGGGCTTCCGGGGGTGAGGCCAGGACTTCCCCTTCGCCCTCCTCGCCGGGCTCCTTCATGGCTTCCAGGTTTACCTCAGGAAGTAGGCCGCCGCCGCCGCCGCGCCCTGGCCTGGCCTGGCCTTCCATTCCGCCTCGGCCTCCCTCAGGGCTCTCTGCGCGGCTCCCGCGGCTGCGGAAGGCGAAGAGGCTGAGGCGGACGCCAAGGAGCGCGCGCGGGAGCCGGAGCCGCGGCCGAGAGCGCCGCCATCGCGGGAGGGCGGGGCCAAGCGGGGAGTGGGCGGGGACAGGGAGGCAAGCCCCGCCCACTCCTCCCTACTACTCCCTCCCTCCTACGGAACCAAGCCAGGCAAGCCCCGCCTTCTCTTCATCCTACGGAACCAGGCTGGGCGATAAAGGGGAGGAGCCAGCTAGGAAAGCCCCGCCCTCTCCTCTTTCCTACGGAAAGGCGGAGCCACCCACTCTTCGCCTCGGAACCAGACAGGAGGGAAGGGGCGGGGCCAACAATGCAAGCCCCGCCCCCTTACTGCGCCGCTCCTTCCCATGGAGACATCCAGCCAGGCAAGCCCCGCCCACTCCTTCCTCCCACAGAACCAGGCAGGGAGAGAATGGGCGGGGCCAGCCAATAAAGCCACGCCCCCTATGTGCGCCTCTCCTTCCCATGGAGAGATCCAGCCAGGCAAGCCCCGCCCACTCCTCCTTCCCACGGAACCAGGCAGGGAGAGAATGGGCGGGGCCAGCCAAGAAAGCCACGCCCCCTATGTGCGCCTCTCCTTCCGATTGGAGAGATCCAGGCAGGCAAGTCCCACCCACTCCTCCTTCCTATATAACTAGAAGGGGCGGAGCCAGCCATGAAAGCCCCGCCCCTCACTGCGCCGCTCCTTCTCTCCCACCGAACTCCCTCTGAGAGAAGGGGCGGGGCCCGGCAGGCATAGCCCCGCCCCTTTGTGTCTCTCCTTCCTCCCGTGGAACAGAAGGGGCGTGGCCATGCATCCAGGCTCCGCCCCCCTCTCCTCACGGAATGATCCGGGGCCAGAGGGCCAGGCCACGCCCCTTCTGCTCCTCCCCTTCCCTCCCATGGAGCCGAAGGCTGCTCTCCTCCCTCCCACCCCAGCCAGACAAGAAAGGGGCGGGGTCGTGCAAGCAGGCCCCGCCCCCTCTCCTCTCCTCCTCCGCGCGGCCCCTCCTCCTTGCTCCGCACCCGGGAGTAGTCCCCATTAGAGCACTCCCAGCAGATGGTCAACCAGCTTCAACTCATAATAATAATAGAATCCCAGAGAGGAAGTATGTGTGTGTATGTATATGTGTGTGTGTGTGTGTGTGTGTGTGTGTGTATATATATATATATATATATATATAATATGTATATGAGAGACAGATTATATCGTAGAGTTGGGAAAGACTCAAGGGCCATACAGTCCAGCTCCCTTTCTTCCCTCAGGCAGGGAAAAACACACTCGGAGCATCCCCGACAGATGGCCATCCAGGCTTTGCTAATAATAATAATAGAATCCCAGAAAGAGAGAGAAAGAAGAGATACAGTTGGAAGAGACTCCCAGGGCCATCCAGTCCACCATCCAAACCCTCCCGACAGATGGCCAGCCAGCTATAGATTGATGGGTGTTGGTATGATATGACTTACTGTATATATGATTGATAAAGGATCTTAGAGTTGGAAGAGACTCCCAGGGCTATCCAGTCCAACCTTCTTTGATCATCCACCATACAAACCCTCCCGACAGATGGCCAGCCAATTATAGATTGATGGCTGTTGATATGATATGACTGATGTATCTGTGTGTGTGTGTGATTGATATAGAATCTTAATTGGAAGAGACTCCCAGGGCCATCCAGTCCACCATCTAAACCCTCCCGACAGATGGCCAGCCAGCTATAGATTGATAGCTGTTGATAAGATATGACATATATATGATTGACAAAGAATCTGGAAGAGACCCCCAGGGCAGCCAGCCCAACCTTCTTTAACTATCCACCATCCAAACCCTCCTGACAGATGGCCATCCTGACAGATGGCTGTTGATATGATATATATATATATGATAAAGAATCTTAGAGTTGGAAGAGACCCCCAGGGCCATCCAAATCCAACCTTCTTTAACTATCCACCATCCAAACCCTCCCGACAGATGGCCAGTCAGCTATAGATTGATGGCTGTTGATATGATATGACTTATATATGATTGATAAAGAATCTTAGAGTTGAAAGAGACTCCCAGGGCTATCCAATCCAACCTTTTTTGACCATCCACCATCCAAACCCTCCCGACAGATGGCCAGCCAGCTATAGATTGATGGCTGTTGTTATATATATATATAGGTGGCCATCCATCCTCTGCTTCAGAGACTTCAAAAAGGGGCCTTTGTTGTCCTGCCCAGCAAACAAGGATGGAAACGACGCTGTACATGACCAGAAATAACCTTCAGATTCTCTAACGTCTTTGGATTGGAGGGTGCCTTTAAAATTGTTTTCATCTTTTCACCAGTGGGTTAGAAGAGAGATAATGATTTGAGGCTGCAACCAGCCACACCGAGTGGTATAAATAGTTTTAACCAGCCACTCCTTGGAGGAGGACACCCATTATGGCCAAGGTGGCTACCACCAGGTGAAGCCCATAAACTCCTTTATAGCCGGCGCCTCTTTCTAAATCGAGACCGTAATGAGCGTCCGCATCTCATTCTGTCGACAGGGCCATCAATGTTGTGGATTAAGTACAACTGGCATCATGCCAGGTTAACTCCGAGAAACTCCACTCGTACTTAAAGTTTGTTTATGTTGGGCAAGTTTGCTCTGGATGCATCATTGGTGGGGTTCAGTGTGCTCTCTGGATGCAGGGTAAACTACAACTCCCACTATGGTGAGTCAGTCCCCTCAAACCCCTCTAGTAGATTGAGTTTGTCATGGGAGTCCTATGTGCCAAGTTTGGTCCAGATCCATCATTGATGGACGTCACAGTTTCCCTGGTTGTGGGTGAACTACAACTCCCGGAAAGTTCCCCCCAAACCCCTCCAGTAATCAAATTGGGCATATCAGGTCTGTGTGCCAAGTTTGGTCCAGATCCACCGATGTTTGCGTTCACAGTGCAATCTGGATGTAAGTGAACTACAACTCCCCCAAATCAAGGTGAATTTCCCCCAGAGACCTCCAGTACTTTTTGCTGGTCTTGAGGGCTCTGTGTGCCAAGTTTGGTCCAATTCCATCTTTGGTCTAGTTCAGAGTGAGCCTTGATTGCAGGTGAACTATAAATCCCAGGACCTACAACTCCAAAATATCCAGGCCGCTTTCCCTCAAAACTCACCAGTATTTAAATCTGGACATATCAGGTATGCATGGCAAGTTTGGTCCAGATCCATCATTGTTTGGGGTCATAGCGCGTTCTGGATGTAGGTGAACTACAACTTCTCTAAATCCCTTCAAGTACCTCTAGTTATTTTTTGTTGATTATGGGGGTTCTGTGTGCCAAGTTAGTTCTAGGTCCATCACTGGTGTTCAGAGTGTTCTTAAATTGCAGGAGAACTATACATCCCAGCACCTACAACTCTTATAAATAATGGTGAATTCTCCCCAAACCTCTCAAGTATGTTCAGTTGCTGATAAATTCTCTGTTTGCTTTGAGCCATAGAAAAGAATAGGAAAGGGTGAAGGGAGAGGCAGTGGGCAGGGTCATGCACATTCCACACCAGTGGAGAGAATCAGAAACACTGGGATGTCTGTGGTGGAGGAAACACAGAAAATCTAGGATGGAATTGTCCCTGTATGAAAGCCTTCACTTGGGTGATGGACAGTGTGGTGTTGGTGAAGGACATTGGCAGGGCTCTTGGGCATGTTTACAGCACTCACTATAACCTGCAATGTCATTGGAGGGTGGGCCATTGGTGTCTCCTGAATGGTGGGAGCTATAGTTCTCTGTGGAAGTGGGAGCTTGTCTGTGGAAGTGGGAAAGAGAGAAGAACGGAAGAACAAAAGGGAATGAAGGAGAAAGAGGGAGAAAGGGGGGCAAGAGGAATGGAAGAAGGAAGGAAAGACAAAAGGGAGAAGGGAGGAGTGAGGAGGAGGAAGGAAAGAAAAAGGGAGGGAAGGGTGGAAGGGAAGGAAGGGAGGAAGGAAAAAGAGAAGGAAGGAAGGATGAAAAGGTGGAAGGGAAGAATGGAAGGAGAAAGGGAGGGAACTAAGGAGGAAGGAAAGAGAGAAGGAAGGAAGGACGAAAAGGTGGAAGGGAAGAATGGAAGGAGAAAGGGAGGGAGCTAAGGAGGAAGGAAAGAGAGAAGGAAGGAAAGACAAAAGGGAGGGAAGGGTGGATGGAAGGAAAGGAGACAGGAAAAAGAGAAAGAAGGAAGGAAGGACAAAAAGGTGGAAGTGAAGGATGGAAGGAGAAAGGGAGGGGGGCTAAGGAGGAAGGAAAGAGAGAAGGAAAGACAAAAGGGAGGGAAGGGTGGGAAGGAAGGGTGGATGGAAGGGAAGGAGGAAGGAAAAAGAAAGAAGGAAGGAAGGAAGGACAGAAGGGAGGGAGCTAAGGCGAAAGGAAAGAGAGAAGGAAGGAAAGACAAAAGGGAGGGAAGAGTGGAAGGGAAGGAAGGAGGGATGGAAGGAAGGGGAGGAGGAAGGAAAAAGAGAAAGAAGGAAGGAAGGACAAAAGGTAGGGGGCTAAGGAGAAAGGAAAGAGAGAAGGAAGTAAAGACAAAAAGGGAGGGAAGGGAGGAAGGGAAAGAAGGATGGATGGAAAAAGGGAAGGAAAGAAGGAAGGAAAAAGAAAGAAGGAAGAGAAAAAGGGAAGGAAGGAGAGGAAAAAAGGGAAAAGAAGGAAGGAAAAAAGAGAAAGAAGGAAGGAGAAAAAGGGAGGGGGAGGGAAGAAGGAAAGAGAAGGAAGAAGACAAGAAGGGAAGGGAGGAAGGGAAAGAAGAATGGATGGAAAAAAGGGAAGAAGGAAGGAAAAAGAGAAAGAAGGAAGGAAGGACAAAAGGGAGGGGGCTAAGAAGAAAGGAAAGAGAGAAGAAAGTAAAGACAAAAAGGGAGGGAAGGAAGGGAAAGAAGGATGGATGGAAAAAGGGAAGGAAAGAAGGAAGGAAAAAGAGAAAGAAGGAAGGAAGGACAAAAGGGAGGGGCTAAGAAGAAAGGAAAGAGAGAAGGAAGTAAAGACAAAAAGGGAGGGAAGAGGGGAAGGGAAAGAAGGATGGATGGAAGAAAGGGAAGGGAAGGAGGAAGGAAAAAGAGAAGGAAGGAAGGACAAAAGGGAGGGGGCTAAG